CAGTGAATTCTCTACCTGTGACCTCCTTCCTGGCATCATTGGCTGGCGTGGCTGATTACTTGTTGTGACTTTGAAAACTGTCCACACACTGACCCCTCCCCGGGACTCACCTCTGACTGGTGAGTGCCCTATGAGCTCTGGACTCCCTTATCTACATTGCCTCGCATGTGCTGAGGTCCCCGAAACTTCCCAGGTAGAACACCAAACTCTTGGCTTCAATGGACCAAGATTCTGCCTCTCAGAGTTCACCATTTCAATAGAATAGCAGATTCATTATTCCAGTTGTTCAGGTGAAAAAACCTAAAACCTCTTTCATTGGATTTTCTTCTCTCCTGCATTCTGCATATGGATATATCCTTTGTGATGGTTAATTTTATGTGTTAACTTTCCCAGGCCGTGGTGCCCAGCTCTTTGGTTCAATACCAGTCCAGATGTTGTTGTTAGGGCCCTTAGGATGGAGCAAATCCATTGGGATAAGAAAATATCATGTGACTGGGGAGATAGCTCAGTGGAATAAGTCCTTTCCTGACAAGGAAGAGTTTAATCCCCAGTTTAAAATATATATATATATTTTATATATATAATTTTGCATATGTGAAGTAGGGTTTCTCCACTCATATTTCTGTGTTTGGGATGGTTCTTTTTTTTTGTATTTTAGGGAAGGGTCTACAGGATGTTCAGGGTCTCCCTACTAGATCGGACTTGTAGTGATACACCTGTTTACAGCCTCCCACGAGCTGGGATTACAGGTTCGCGCCACCATGCCCAGTCTCAGTTGCTATCTCAGTGGGCCCTGGGGACAGGGCTGGCATGGCAGGCCTGGGGATCAAACTCCTGGCCCCTGCGCCTTTTTGCAGGTGCTTTAATCCACTGAGCTGATGATCCTTATTGGGGTGGTTCTAATGGAACACTGACTCTTTCACCTGGGGCTCCGGTTAACTCACCTGTGCTTTGGTGAGGGAAGGCCATGAGATGTGCACAGAACAAAGGTCACAGTCTGTGGTGTGATCAGAGAGGAGGTCAACCCCCTCTCTAGCCTTTTCCACTTAGACCCCTTTCCCTGGGCCTTCTACAAGTAGTCACCTGCTCCAGGGCCTCAGCAACAACCCCCCCAGTCTACCACAGCACCTGTGTGTTCCCTGGTAGTCATGGGAAGGAAACTTTCTATTAGAAGGGTGATGTTCTTGGGTTGTAGGAGCAGCTAGAAATCTTCACGTGTTGAATTTGATAGATGTGTGTGTGTGTGTGTGTGTGTGTGTGTGTGTGTGTGTATGTGTCCTTGAGCCTCATGTTCTTGAGGGGGGAGTGAGGGGCTTTGAACCTGACATTGGTAAGTGTGTGTACCTGAACCTGACTTTCATAAGTGGGGTGGGGTAATGATACAAGGAGAAAAACTGATCTCGGGTGGGTGACCTCCAAATGATACAGGGAACCTCAAAATGACATAGGGAAAAATGATCTCCTGGCCTGACCTGCATGAATTCGTGTTCTCCAAAACCTAAGAATGAATTTTAGGAACAAATGGAGGTTATGTGCAGAATATATTCATTGAGAGAAAGAAAGCTCCTGTTCGAGAGAGGGACAGAAGGGGGGCCCAAGCAGGTTGTTCCCCAGGAAGTTGTCTCTTCCAGGGACTTTTATAGAGGAAAACCATGTGGTCAGGAGGGTCTAAGGTGGTGGAGAACATGGGAACTCACTTAGGTGGGCATGAGGTGGGACAAAACTATGGTCAACCAATGAGATTACAAGAACCATTGCTCAGGTAAAGTTGATTACGCCCAAGGACCAATGGGGTGGGGAAGTGAGTACAAGGTCTCTTCCTGTTGGAGGTTGGGCTAGTGACTCTTTGTGGCTCTTTCAAGGTGATTGATACCTACTTAGAATATCAATCCCTGATGTCCATCCCTAGGGAAGTAAGGAGCGGTGCTTAATCTTTTGTCTTGAGGTGTGGCTCATATGGGAGTGTCTGTCTCTTCCAAGTTGCAAGGTCACCTTGTCTTCCATCTTGTCTCTTTGAGAGCCTGACCCTCTCTGATTGCCTATAATATTTCTATCTAACTTGGCTGCCTGCAACAGTAGGACAAGTTTCACCTTCACCCATTTCCTCACCAAAAAGAAATACTATTGCCTACCCAGGATTAAAGTACATTAAAGGCCATTATAGGATTAAAGTAATGTATAAGGAGTACCCAGCTTATGCTAAACACTCTTTATGTGAAGGTGAAGATCAGAGAGCACTGGAACTACAGACTAACTTCTAAGCTACACTGGAGACCCAACTCAGGCTGTGCCGTAGTGAGCTGCGCCAAAGTGAGCAACAGTTGCTGTCAGCCCTTCCGGTGATTCTGCATCTGAGCCTATCATTCCTGAAGTCACCCAGTGATCCTCCTCACCTGACCAGGTCACTGCCCTCCCTAATGTTCTGTGAGACTGGAGCTCTGCCTCCAGAGAGCCTGCAGCCCAAGCCCGCCAGCCCTGCCTGTTCCAACCCTCACCTCACACCTGGGCTGCTCTCACCAACCTTTGCTCCGCATCTGGAGGGAACGTTGAATAAGCAGGGGTCCCTGAGTGTGGCTGTTACAGGAGACATGCCTCTGGGTAACCTTGTAGGGAGTTGGCCATATTTTTTCTTCTATCCTTCAAGTGTTCTCATTGAAGATTTTCTGAAATTCAGCCACCCTGTGTCAGTTGCATTGCCTATTTCATTCCCCATCTGAAACAGAAAAAGAGGTTAGTCTTGTGGGACCAGTTTTTCATGCAAACCTGTAGCTGCAGATATATTTGGTCTTGTGGCCCCTCACCTGTACTGCGTTGGGCTACATCAGGTGATTTCCTGGATTCCTACTAACCAGGGCCTTTGGGAGCCAGCAGTGGGGGGATTGTGCATTCATTCCTGCCGAGATGCTGGGCCTTTGCGAGATAGCCAAGGGAGGTGTTTGCAAGGAAGTGATGGGCGGAGATGACTTTCCAAGTGCTGGCAGGGGAATCTACATCAGGGCCAAGTCAGTCAGGGAGCAAGACCAGCAGCCTCGATTTCTGGGATGCTCTCTGTCCTCCTCCTCCATTCTGACAGCCCCCACAAAAACCAAACTGTGTATCTCAAACCCAGAATGCAAGGAATGTGCCATAGCCTGATAGGCATAAAGTGGTCTGCACAGGGGCAGGGAGGAGCTCTGCTTCCCAGCCTGGGGCCTGACAGTGCAAGGACTATCAAGCCTGCAGGCTGGGCGGCCCCTCCCACTCTCCCTCTGCAGCCGGATATCAAAGGCTGCATTGTGCATTGAGTGGCCTTGGTCCCTCGCGTGCCAGAGAGGAGGCGGGAGGAGGGACGCCGCTGCTGGGAGCCTCCCCAAGCTCTTTTGGCTGCTGTTCCCTGGGGCCTTAGCCTGGGGAGAATGGTGCACACATGGGTGGCTGCTTCTGCATCCCTGGGGAGCGGAGTCTGTCCTGGGGTCCAGGTGAGTTGCCTGCAGGGCTCTGGCCTGTGGGTTGGCTAAACTGGTTGGTTCTGTAAAGGCTCAGGGAGGTGCTCGTCGGAGGAAGGGGTTCTTCCAAAGATGGGGAGATGGCTGTGCTTGATGATGGCCTCTCTTCCCACCTTGGTTGGATGTGTCGTCCTGGCTTTGTAAAAGGGAGCTACGTCTGGCTGGGAGGGGTCTACTGAGAAAAGAGGCTTTGAGCTCGCTTTGCCAAGGGGGAGTGAGGCGGCCTTGGCTGCCACTGCTAGGGTGTGACTAAGCCCTTCCTTCCTTTTCTCCCAAGATTCCCTAGAACAGGAAGAGGCTTTCAGCAGTGAGTTCCTCTGTGACCTAGGGGTGGTCATAAATCTGCCCTTAGTCACTTAAGCCTATTTTTGTCAGTGTTACTGCTGGTGAAGAAAAATAGGCAGTTTCCTGCCTCCTACCTGTTACAGTGGTTTTCGGCACACGGAGTCGAAGTCATAGGGATCCTTGCTCTGAGAAAGCGTCAAGTCATCTGAGACGGGATGCAGGGTGGCTCGCTACCCTGGTTTGCCTGGCGCTGGGGGCTTTCTTGGGATGTAGCCAGCTTACGCTGGACAGTCTCGAGCACATGAGGATGATTGGACACCCTGATCCAAACCCCATGCTTCTTCTCAGAGCAGAGCCCGGAGGGGGGCCTTGCGACCTCTTGTAGGACATTTATCAGGGTGAGCAGTGACTTTGGGGACTGTGGGAGAGGATCAGAGCAGAACTAATTTGGGAGAGTAGCATTCCTCCCCAAATCACCTCATAATCTTGTTGGGGTACTGTATCTTCCCAAGAGCCCGTTGAGAAACACCCCACACCCCACAGATTTCTACTGTCTAACAGATGGATTTGCTCTGGGTTCTCCTGACCTGGGCTCG